CAATGCTAAATTGATCACTCATTTTTAAACATGGTTTCATCTAAATATGAAGTTTCTTCCAGAAACAATCTATGTTTTAGGATTTCATCAAACATAAACTAGAGTCAAACCCTCATCTGATCATAAAATTGCCCAAAAACATCTGGATCTCTGGTTTTCAACGCGTTTTGCCTTTCCTGTTCATTTCAACATGTATAAAATCATTTATGAGTCGCTTTAGTTACCATTGAATCCTGACTTGTTTTGTTAAAACCATAACTAAACTTCCACTTTGTCACCTAAATTTAAAATCCCACTGACAGAGAAAGAGGAAAATGGAGATGAAAACATGACAGGAACTGAAAAGGCACCGGGTAAAGCAAAGACACGACGGCAGATAGAAAGGGAATTAGATCATTTTGACAAGCATGAATCTGGAAGAAGCAGGAGTGCTCTCAGAAAGCTTTGATGGAGGTTAAGAAGCCACATGGCTGTGCAGGATCACACACGCGGTGATGTGTTTGACTTGTGCTGGGCTCACAGAGGAGCAGTGTGGTCGAAGCCACAGCAGTGCACCAGAAACAGCCAAGAGGCAGACCTCCCTGTTGGAGCTGCTGCTGCAGACCAGCCACCCTCCGTTCAACACACACGCACGCACGCACGCACGCACGCACACGCACGCACACACACACACACACACACACACACACACACACACACACACACACACACACACACACACACACACACACACACACACACACACACACACACACACACACACACACACACACACACACACACACACACACACACACACACACACACACACACACACACACACACACACACACACACACACACACACACACACACACACACACACACACACACACACACACACACACACACACACACACACACACACACACACACACACACACACACACACACACACACACACACACACACACACACACACACACACACACACACACACACACACACACACACACACACACACACACACACACACACACACACACACACACACACACACACACACACACACACACACACACACACACACACACACACACACACACACACACACACACACACACACACACACACACACACACACACACACACACACACCCTCCCGTCAGCATGAATCATCGAGCTTTTTACGGTCATCAGTTAGTGACTCACCATCCCAGCGGCGGCGTGATCTGCCCCACTCCCCCAGGAGACAGCGAGTAGAAATTGGACATGTCTGGTCCGGGATGATGCCTGGGCATTCCTACAAACAAAGGTCGTACACAAGCATCAAGATTTGTGAAAATGTTAACAAGTTTAATTTCTCCTTAAAGACCAGGTTCGCTCGATTCAACACATGGGCAGTGGTCTCTTGCACAAGCGTAGGTTGATCTCTGTGGGGTATAAACGTCGGCGCTCCTGTTTCAGGAAGTAGGTGTTAGCCAGGGCAGAGGGGCGCAGCAGACGGCAGGATTTGGAGTCTTTACTTCCTGATAATGTCACATCTTGCCTCTGATTGGCTGACAGCAACTCCCTTCGCTTGGCAATGTTGATGTTTCATCTCCACAAACAACACAAGCCTGGAGGAGCTCTGCCATGTTGTGGAGTTACTAATGCTAACTGTTAGCTTCTACCACCCCAGCGGTGCTCTGTGCTCACCTGGAAGCTAAAGCAACAACAGCCTTCCTCGTCTCGAGCCACGATGGGTGAGCGAAAAGCTAATTCTGTGTGGGTTATCCTAATCCGAGCGTTTCCCTGAATAGCTTCTATCAGCTGATGAAGGAAATGGGGCAGAAGACTGTTTTCACATGTAGCCTGCATGTTAAACTAAGGCCTAGTCCACACGTAGCCGGGGTTTTTAAAAAAACGAATATCCGCCCCTCCAGAAACTTGCATCCACACGTACCCGGATAAATACGTTGTTAAGGACATGCCAGACCTGTAGGCGGCAGTACTTCCCCCGTTCTTAACCTCGTCCTTCGTCTGTGGTCTTCCGCAAGCAGCAGTAATTCCTCTTGCAAAAACAAACAAGCAGAAAGCGCTTGGACGATTGATAAAGCGAGCGCAGCTCTGAGGGCATCCGTGCTGTCGGCTAGTGTAAACACAGGTCGCACTCGTGATGTCAGCATTTTTCTGTCGCGGAAAGTGACGTTGCGGACCTTAAAACTCCGGTTTTGTCCGTCCACACGCAGACACCCAAAACGGAGAAAACGCAGATCTTCACTTTGGCCGGAGTTTTTAAAAAGATCCGTTTTCGTGTGGATGACAGGCCGAAACGTAGGAAAATATCTACGTTTTGGCAGATCCCGTCTACGTGTGGACAGGGCCTCAGAGTGACTGATCAGATTTCAAACATAAGTACAAAAAAAAGTTCTCAGTGAACTTAGCCTTTAAAGAGATCTTTGAAGTGTTTGTAAAATTTGACAAGATCGCCTCCTGAACAACCTCCTCCATCCCAGCCCGTACATCAGGGCGTGAACATGCCCTCTGACCTCACCTGACCTCACCTCAATAATCTGCGGTAAATGATCATTTTTCCTAACTCTGTTCCTTCCTGTGTGTAATGGTCTCTTCCAGCGGTCTTCCTGTTGGCCTGGTATTAACCCACTCCTCTGCCAGGACTAAGCTCCTCCATTTCCAGCTCCTACTGGGCTTCAAGGTCAAGAGGTCTATTTTTGTGACAGTGCTGCAGGATGACAAACATCTGCTTCAACTTCCTGCTTTTCTGACTTGAAGCAACCGGTTTTGCCCACTTTTAAAAGGACATGCAGATTTGTGATGTAGCTGTTCACGCGCCTGTGTGTACAAAAGAAAAAAAAAAGAGGGCAAATGCTTCCAGATTAGCACCGTCTTCTAATCCCTGCTGGAGCCATCCTTTTCTCCTTGCTTCCATCTTTTCCTCCCCCTCCTCTCTCCAAGCCGTGGTCTGAAGGGGCCTCCCTCCTCCGAGAGGCAGGCCGGGTGGGAGGCTTATATCTCCAAAGCCAATGTTGCGTCGCTGGATTCGTAGCACGGATAGCTCGGCTCCCCGCTTGCTAATCCACCACCTAACACTCCTTTAGGGCCCTCCTGAGGAGGGCAGAAGGGAGGCAGGTGAGTGGCGAAGCAGTGGGGGGGAGGAAAAGAGCACCCTGATGCGTTAACCTTGTCGCTCACACGTGTATGACGCCTAATTATTCGCCCCTTCATGTTCACACGTCCCAAACAAAACGTCTTTATTTTATTTATTTTCTCCAAACACCCCCACCCCCCTCTGCTCGACCTTCCATCCCACGCAGCAGCCCTGTGCATATTAGAGCTCATAATGAGAAAATCCATGATTGTTTTTCATAATTAACGAGCAGATCAAAGTCTGAGCCCACTAAAGGAAGCACAGCAGCTATTGGTCGATATTAGGAGAGAAGAAAGAGCGAGAGGGACTGTGGAAGGGGAAAAAAGAACGGGAGAGATTTCATTTTAAGCATCTTCGGCTTAGCTCTGCTGACACACACACACACACACACACACACACACACACACACACACACACACACACACACACACACACACACACACACACACACACACACACACACACACACACACACACACACACACACACACACACACACACACACACACACACACACACACACACACACACACACACACACACACACACACACACACACACACACACACACACACACACACACACACACACACACACAGCCTGGGGAAATTATTTGTAGCTAATTCTGCAACTGGATAGCTTGGACATGGATTTCTGTTAGGCTGTGAGTGCAGAGATCAAGGAGTTGCCAACGGGGGAATTATTGCGTCTTTTTTTGTGAAAAGCAAAATTTCACACAGAAAAAGACGGGTGCATTTGTTGTTGTGTTGCCTGTTAGTCCTTTTATGCATCTATTACAATAAAGCTCTCATCTGTTTCAGAAGCTTTGCAGATGTGGAGCGTTGTCTCTTTACGTGTCCCGCTCCCTTCATCTCCCTGCACCGCATACATTCACGCTTCGTTCCGTAGGATTATTTATAGCCGGTCCCTCAGAGCCTCCCATCCTTCTCATCATCATCACCTACATCTCCTCGTACTCCTCATCCTTTTCAAGTGACAGTTGCAGGAGAAGAAAGCGGAGGAAAGTGAAAAGGTGCGGGACAAAACCACGCTTGGCCCACGTCTTTTTTTGAATTTTTCTCCTCCTCTGCTAGCATCAGTGAGATGCTGCCAAAGCCTCCAGCTGCGCAGGGCTGAAGGAGCTCGTCCAAACGGCAGAGGAGCTCTTCTGCAGCTGTCAGAGCTGCAGCTTGATGTTATTCCTGAGAGGCAACGAGTGCAGAGGGAGAGGGCAACGAGCTCAGCGCGACATCCCACCGGCTGCTTCAAATGACTTCACAGCAAAAGATGGTGGCAGGGTGACTTCGCTCCGACATATTTCTGTGTGTGTGTCTCAACGGATTCCTGACGGTGTTGACAGTCGTTTAAAAAAGAATACTTGTGCTGCCTCCGAGATGACTTCCAATATTTTTAGCATAAACTGCACATCATCCAATAATGGCTTTAACGTACGAGTTTGATCAATGGTAGCATGGACGTAATTTTGGGGGGGGGGACAGGGGGGACATGCCCCCCCCACACACTTTTTCCAAAGTCAAGTTTTGACCCCTGCACTTTTTACCATCCAAAAACAATATTACGCTATATTAAATTGACACTGGTTGAGCTCTAGGACCAAGCAGAAAACAACCGTTTGTGTTGAAGCCGGTTTCCCATTAGAGCATACTGTAAAGCCCCCCCCCCCCCCCCCCCCCCCCACTGTCCCCCCCACTTCTAAAGTGAAAATTGTGTCCATGAATGGTAGATTGGAGCTTCTGTAAAAGCGAGACCACATTTTAGATTTCATTTGTTTAAGCTTGATTCATGATCTGGGATTATGGAGGTGTTCTCTTAAAACAGGCACCCAGATTTGACACGTAAAGCCAGAGTCTTAGGGTCGGGTTATGCTTGCTTTTTACGTGTTTTGGCGCAGGCTGCGTCTTTTTTCACATGCTTGCTGCTGCAACGGCACTGCGCTGCACGTAGTACTGAAGGACTTCGTTAGGGGGCTCAGTTCAGACCGATAGAGTCCAGGGTTTGTTCGAAACAAACATCGTGTCAATAGAAAAGATCTGTTTCATTTGGAGATCCCGGCAGGAAAAACGACAGCAGCGGTATCATAGATAGTATGGAAGTCCTCTAAACCATGGTGGGTGTCTCACATGTTTAGTTAACTCCGCCTACTGGTTACTCGTATACTGCAGCGTTCGAACGCGTCTCGTTAATTTCGGGGGATGCGCACAAACAACATTTTAAATCAACGCACATTACAGGAGACAGTCATAATAAACATGTATATACACACTGTTAAAACCAAGCATTTTGCAGCCCTTAAGCCTGATTTATACATCTCCGTCAGCTCCGCTAGGCAGAGACACACTCATTGACAGAGATGTTTTGCTCTCGGACTTCTCCGTCACCTGGGGAGTGTTGCAAAGCAGTTCCCCGCCAGGACAGCAGAGGGAGTAGCTCTGTTCTGGCGTATCATGCCACCATTACACCCATGTATCCGATCCCACGATAGTGAATGTGTTCATGTATTTTAGAGACTTTATAACATTCTCATTCTCCTCCACCTCTTCATGCGGTCGCCACCTCTAAACCCACGTTTCCTGCCATTTCCATCCATGAATAAAACATTTGCTCCGTGTTTTTGTACTCCTTCAGTCACAGATGAAAAATGTCGCTGGTTTTGGGCCACGACTAGTTTCTACTCCTATTAGAGTCATCACAGCTGTCTGGAACCCGTCTCAAACCCTTCTCAATGTAGTTTTTGAGAGTCAAAGTTCAAAGAACTCAATACGATGGAGCAGTTAGTAAACAAACTTGAAATGGCATGCGGGGTAAACTGTAAGCAAATCGAGACACGTTAGAACTAAACCGCCACAAGAAACATTAGCAGGGCAGTTCCCTTCTGTTCGCCCAACATAACACTGCCGTACTCAAACTTCTTCCTCGAGGATCATTTGTACAAATTTATTGAAGTTCCAACTAACAATCTGTTGATGTTCCTGCAAACAGTTGCATCCCAGTCAGATGCTGGATTAGAGACCGACTCGGGTGCTTTTTCCTTCACAGTTCGAGACGACTCAGACAACACAAAACGACGTTGTGTCGGCGTGTCTCTTACCTTGTTTGTTGCTGGCATCCTGGGGATGATGGCCTGAATGGGAGCCTGGAGCAAAGTGCTCATCGCTGTACGTGATCAGTGGTGTGAGAGGGTGGACTGCATGGGACGGCTGCACAACAGGGACTTTATTGGACTGTGGAAACAAAAGCAAATTGGTCAGATTACAATAAAATTTTTGATTTTTCACATGAACACTATGGACCTAATGTCGTTTCTGTCATGCAGAAGCAGGACGCTGGCTCAGCTAGTGCAGCACAGGCTCTACCTCCACCCTGATGAAAAGGTAACTGCTCCACCGACACTCACCAACATGGACACTGCACCTTATTCATATTTACAAATCGTGTTTCTATGTATACTGCAATGCAACCAGTATTATTATCTTCCAACGGTATTTATTACAACCTTATTTATTACGGTTTTAGCAAAACCCCTCCCCCCAACCTCAACTCAATGCCATACACAGCTTTTTTTTAAATACACAATTCTTCCTTTTAGTACATACTTGTTATTTTATCTCTTCTGTGTACCGCATATACACGGAGAGACGCCAAAGCGCCTTCCACTGTTCTTGCAGCAGTGGCAATACAGACTGATTCCATTCTAAAACACATTGTTCCCGTTTGTTGTTGAGCCCAGCAGCTCTACACTTTCAGCACAGGTCAGCGGGATTAAAGACGCCACTCCCTGAAGAAACGAGAGAAAAATAAATAAAAGCAAAGATGTGTGTGTTTGGGGGTGAAGCAGAAAGAAGGACGCAAACAGAAGAGAAGCGAACGGGGCGAGCGACGGAGCAGAGAGGGGAGAGAAATGAGAGACTTGCAAGGTATGGAGCAGAGGTCTGAGGCGGGAGATCAAAGGCAGTCATTAGCTGGTGAATAAGGGGAGTTCATTACAGAGCAAGAGCCGGGGGAGGTGGGGTGGGGAGGGGAGGGGCTTGACTGGTGAGAAAGCCGGAGCGAGGCAGATGTCTGCAGCGGTTCTTAACCCAACGTAGAGGTTATCACGTCAACAGTGGCCCGTCCATGGACCCCCAGTCCCCGGCTGGCTCACACAGACCATACCTGTTCACAATTAGCAGTTCAACCCCCCCCCCCCAGCTGCACCAAACACATGGGAATGCTTAGCCGTGCTAAATCTGCCATTCACAATCCGAGCCCAGAGCAGAGCTGGAGTCAAAATATCACCTCTACAGGACATACGGCTAATCTGTGAAAGGCTGGACACGCCCTGAACGATTCTGCTCCACTTTTATTAAACCTGTAGACCCCGGTCGAAACCATTTACTGAAAAGTTCTTATTAGCTTCTTTCCATCTGAACACTTGTGAGCCAAAGGGACATTCTCGCAGTCCTAAGTGGAGACTGGTGGTCACACCCCCCACCACACACACATATTCATCAAACCCCTCGAACACGGGGTGTCTGGAATGTTGGATACACCTCTCGCAGACTGGCACCAGCTTCGGTTCAAAGCCTTTCCCATTTTGGGAACGTCCTAACCAGGATCCTGACAGACGGGGCATGTGAGTTTTTTCCGCTCAAAGTTAGCAACGGGCAAAAATCAGACCGACTTCCTGTTCCCACCTTGATGAACATTGAACACCATGGTAGTTTCATAGCAATTCCACACCAACCCAGGTGAAAAGGAGCTCTGTGACCCCCCCTCCCAGTCACCGAGAGTCAGAGGTGATGGGATAATCTTTGAGTCAGAGTGCTCGACCCCATCCGACCGAGGGGAAGGCTGCTAAACCTAAAAGAGGGACTAACCAGGGATGAAGAGACTGGACATGCCTTCACCAGAGGCTAAATGATGCCATTCTCACCCGTATTATTTTACGCCTCTCCTCTCCCATTTGTTATCCTGTGGGAATGAGATAAGAGCCTAGGAGATTACCATTATAGCCATGATTCCTCAGACTTTGAGTAAAGAGCAGGACAAAGACCAAGCTAATGGAAACGAATCACTCTGCCGTCGTTGTTTTAATAAAACAGAAGTGTAAAGGGTAACCGAGTCTTTAACCAGACGCGCCAACCACAGCGGAGAACCTCTCCCTCTCGTGGTTACAGCTGTCAAATCCAATTTTTCTTAATTTCTTAATAAAACCCTTCTTCCATTGTGGAGGAAACAGGGAATCCACCACGGAAGAGGCTGGAAGTCTCTGTGACCAATACGGGTGCATTTACCCACACTGGTTTATCCAATCCTGATTTGCTTTTAGAAGAACAGAACAACAATTCCTTTCACAAGAATTCTAAAAGCTTCATCAATAACTCCAGATAACATCAAACGTGACGACGAAAACTCGAGACGCTGCTGGTTTTTGGACTAAAAAATGTTGAACGTGAAAGCCAAAAGCTCTACAACTACCTAGGATGAATCAGCTGAAAGTTGAGGGGTTTCTCCAAAAAAAGACCGATTGACCGGTTGTGTCACCTCTCTCCCCACACAGGCTCTCAAACCCACAGCAGCATCGCTGTTTCATAGAGGGTAGCCATATTGGAGGTGCCCTTTGTTGTACATGAGAAATAATAGGCTTAGGATCTTTCTTTTCACTTTTTTTGGGGGGGCAGCAGAAGCGAGGCAGGGAGAACTGAAAAGCAAACGTTCCATTTGGAATATCATATCCAGCCTCGGCCGGTCCTTTTTTTTAAAAACAAAGCCCTTCAGATGTGGTTTTAAACCAAATTCATTGTGCGGAACTGAAGCTGGCAGGAAGCCCTCGACAGACGAGGCGCTCCAGTGTGTTTCAGTGAGGGAAGCTGGTGTGTCGTCTCAAACCGGGGGCGGGGAAGACAACTGGGATGTAGACGTTTGGTCTTTTCATTTCTGGTCCTATTCCGCCATCATAATGTTGTGTGTTTATATGAAGCAACCATTCCTCCAATATTTCCTCTTCAGCCATCCCTCCCTCCCGCCTCACAGCACCGCTTTTGTACTCTGCTCAATTATACCACTTCTGCAGAGTGGAGTGGGGGGAAAAGTGGGAATTTCATAATAATCACTTCCCACTTCTGTAATTTATATGCAATGAGGACTCTTTCATGCCCGCAGCTACAATCAAGAGTATAAGGAACCGTGTGAGGTGTTTCACAAACAGCTGGGGAGATGGCAGCTTGAGTAGTGGTGATGGATTCCCATGCTGCTAAATCTATTCACCAAGAAGCCCCTCTCACCCTAGCACCCATCTTCACCCACTCATGTGATTTTCTGCACTCCGAAGTGAGAAAGATGCACAAAAAATGGCATGGAGTAATAACAGAGGGGAAAAAAACGTGAGGCAAGAAATTTTAATAACAAAAGTTTGCTGCATTTTTGCACCAATATTATGACATGATTGCTGCTTCAGGAAATATGTTATAATTACATCAGAGTCCTACCAGAACACCAACCCTCTGAATGCATAAATGATGTTTAGCTACTGTTTCTACAGACAATGCAACCAGAGATGAAGGTTACGGAGACAAAAGCATCAGCAAACACCAAACGGTTGAGTATGAAGCAAGGGTGTGGCCATTCCAGAATTCCTACGCTTGTCCCAAGACCAGGTGTGTTTGTGCGCAACTCGGACGACCTTTTTGCAACAAAAGAGAGCAAACATTGTAATGTAGTAGCTTTGGGACACTGTGGGAACAGAGAAGGCGCCGTACCTCCCTCTTTACCAAAAATCAGTCGGAGACCAACCTGCAGAAGCTTAAATAAATAACCAATTACCATTCGCAGAGCCGGCTGAACCCCACCAGCAACGAGTGAAGTGCTAAAAAATGAAATGTTTCAGTGGCGGGATTGCCCCTTGGCCAGGCGGCTTAATGTAACGAAACCCAATTAATGAGGAAGAAAGCTGGGCTCCCAGCGAGCTAAGGAGTGCCACGCGCCCAGGGTAATGAGACGAACAGGCGAAGCCAACCACGGGGACAGCAGCAGGGGAGGCTGCGAATAGCAGAAAAAGCCTGCCCTGGAGAGGAAAATACATCTGCTCTGCCTCCCAATCGGACTTTTTCTCCTTTCATTCCAATCAAAATCCCCTTCATGCTAATAAGAGTCCGACGGGAAGCTGCAGCCAGCTGATAGAAATGACCGCAGACCTGTGGCTGAGTGGAGTTTTAAGGAAGAAAACGTAAACATCATCTCAGGCATGTTTTGATTTTAAAGACAGTTTGTGGTTGCAGAACATGTCTAGCAGGCAAAACACTTGTCAAATGTTCCTAAAAACACTAGCTCCAACCACACAGTCAAATATTCCCAGTTAGCTACATGAATGGTGCTGCTGTGGAAATCGGGAATTGCAAAAAGGTCCAAATACATGTTCAAAAATACGTAATATCATAGAGGCAAGGCAGCAAGCGCCACAAACATGAAACATACGAACATAAAAAAAGACTCCCCTTCACGTTTAAACTCAACAGTGAATAGGACGAGATGGATTACCCATCATCCTTCAGCTGGCATAGCCGTCTTGTGCTTGAAGCAACCCTTCACGTCAGCTCGGTTGCCGACATTCTGCACGTGCAAGGAGGATAATTTGTGTGAAATGTGCCTGCCCCGATGAAAAGACTTGATCCGCTTTTTTTTTTAAGTGTTTGACTCTTAATTTCTAAGCAGTGTGGCGCCATTAACAAACCGAGAGAAACAGAACAGAACTAATCATCCCGTTTTCTCACTGCACGGTAAGCCGGAGCAGGTACAGAAAGCAAACAGGTGTTATTCTACATGACAAGTTCATATGGATAGAAGAGGTTTCAATGGCATGATTGATGCTTTCTAGGCTTTGATTAAACCAAGAAGCTTCGTGCATACAGTCATCAGCAATGGTGGCCATAACGGTTTCTTGCAGAAGTTTCCATCACTTCTTTGTTTATTCAAGATCTTTAGGAAATACAACCAGGGCTTTAGCTCAATCCAAGGTTTCTAGCGAGCAGGTTTTGTTGGTAAAGCCACAGGCCTGTCTGGACTGAAACCAGTACACGCTGCTTCATCATGACATAACCGCTCAGGCAGGGCCTTTGAGTATCTGCGTCACAGAGGAGGGCGGTGGGTTGGAGTTTCATCTCAACCGACGCATCTTTAAACAGCAAAGAGCAGCTTTACCAAACAACACTGGTGCCACCAAGCTCATTTTGCAGTTAAAGGCATC